GCCTTCAGCCAATCCTCCGTCGGAAACCATGATGATGGGAATCGGAAGAATCACAACTTCTCCAATAAACTTCTAAGACACCTGCCCCACGGTGGGGCGCCAACTGCCGTGGATCTAAAACTGACAGTAGAATGGGGGTAGGTATGAGGAGGCAAGATTCTGGCTATGGAGTAGTTGTACACACGAGTTTTACGAGTTCAGGCCCTTCTCGGAAGAAGTAACAACCCTACGTCTCGGTGCCCTGAGGCGGTCGACTGGATTATATGTGTGTGTGTGTGTTTACAAAAGATGTGAACCCTTGTGCCTGTGGAGGGGGTGGCTTATATAGAGTGCGCCAGGACCCCAGCCAGCCCACGTTACAAAGGGTTTAAGGTACATAAAGGAGGAGTGTTACAGGTAACGTATGTATTAAAGTGCTATAAATGACAATTAAGCCTATAAGTAAATGCTCGACCGTTGTTCGTGCAGAGTGGCTTTAGATCTTCTGCTCATCGAGTGGCTTCTGCGACGGTCGAGTGACATTGATTCTTCTGAGTGAAATGTCTCTGGTCGAGTGGATGATGGTACCCTTCGAATGCTTCTGGTTTGAGAGTGACGTCCTAGGGAAGGGTGTCTAGGTCAGGCCTATGACCCTACCCTAGGTACATACCTTCATCAGGTAGGGCACGCCCCCACCCTCGTGGGCCGGGTGTGACCCCCCTGGTGAACTTCTTGCGCTCAGTATTTATTATATATTCTGAAAATGACTTACATGAAGTTTCAGGACTTTTGGAGCTGTGCAGAATATATCTCTAATATTTGCTCCTTTTCCAGCCCAGAATCCCAGCTGCCGGCATTCTCCCTCTTTATGTAAACCTTGTAAAATAAGAGAGAATAGGATAAGTGTTGTGACATAATGTGTAATAACAGCCCATAATGCAATAAATATCGATATAAAAGCATGATGCAAAATGGACGTATCATCTATCTACAATAGCGCTTTCCTACAACTGTGAAGCTTGCCATGAGACGTTTGCCGATGTGGTTCCACCGTAACAACCTGCGATCATGGTAGCAGTTGGTCATTGCATGGCAACTGTAGTTTGTTCAACATGGCACATGTAGTGGTCCAACCATGTCACACAGATTTGTTCACACTTTGTCATCCACAGTTGTTTATACATTGCAGCCACATTTGATTATACATGGCAACTGCAGTTGTCCAGGCATGGCAACTGCAGTTGTGCAGCCATGGCAACTGCAGCTGTCCAGCCATGGCAACTGCATCTGTCAGATATGTTCCTTTCTCCTAACTCATTGTCCACAACTTCACTTGCATGCACTCACCTATGTACGACGTTGATGGCAGGTACATGGTTGCCACCTGATGCCACGTGTTGCATGAAGGTCCTACATTTTTCTGACATAACTCGTGAGTCTTTTGCCATCCTTGCAAGTTTAATTTCATGTCCACAACAGTAAGTTTCTTTTTCGTATGCATTACCTTGATTTGCCACATTAGCTAGCTGAAGTTGGTTGCCCATAAATTTGTCAGCGTTAGCGCCCTGTGATGAAACTTGCCATGCTACCCCCCTGATTGTGGTTTGGTCATAAGAACCTGCTAAAAATTAGTTTGTAGGACATAAGGAGAATGACATCTTCATTGTCATGAACATGGCAACTGTTTCTTCTTTGTTTGTCATGCATCGTATCGATGCCCGCGTAATGCTCTAGTAGTGGCAGCAATGGCCCTGAAGAAATGAGTTGATTGTACTCTGCTGCATCCCAAGGTGGCGTTTCTGGCCTTTGAGAAAGCCAAGGATCAGTGCCATCTTCGTGATTCATTCTTCTGCTTTCTTTTCTGCCACTATGTTTTTAGTCACTGCATGAACAAGAACGCATCAACAATCCGCAAAGCATTCTTGATGTTTGCACGTAGAAGATAACACGGCAATCTCATAACATTTCTTGCATATGCAACCAACACCTCATGGCAAGTAGGACATGCACATCCATTCTCTTTTCTGAATTCTGGATGCCAGCTATCATTTTGAAGCGATGGCAACAGACAACAAAATAGGATGACAAGCAATAAGATAACATGGTGGCAACTACGGACAATGATAGATGGCAACTGACATTAGATACAAGTGGCAATTATTTTTCCTCCCTCCCTATGCCAAATTCCTCCTTTCTCTCCCTATTTATAGTGATTCCTACGCATGCTCCATTACCAACTACTCGCACCAAGACAACCCAGAAGCTTGGCACAACTCTAGCATAGTATATGGCAGATCTGGCATATGTTTGGTGGGCAAATGCAAAGACACACAAATTCGTGGGGTGTTTGCCCTGATAGCGTTGATCCAATCGCCATCTTCATGGGCAAATTTGTAAGTTCATATTTCTTGGCAGAAGAAGGTCGAGAAACAAAAGGAGATCGGAGATCCACCTGTTTTAGCTCGTCGTCTTGGGACGACGGGGTTGGGGTGGGAGGGGGTGGTGGTTAGCGATGGGAAGGCGCTAGGGATCTTCACTAGTTTCCATGGCAACCAGAGAAGGAAGGCGATGGAGGTAGGGGATCGAGAGGTGGGAGACAATGGCGGCAGGGCGGACTAGGGATCGGAAGGAGTCCGGGACGGCTGGCGTGCTGGGTCATGTGGGCAGCGCTGTCGTCTGGCCCGGACGTGTGGGCGGTTTTGCCACACACTGGACATGCGGGCTGTGGCTGCGCGCGCCCGGACGCGGTCGTGCGGGCGGGTTCTTCTCCATGCCACACGAGGCGTGCATCACAACCACCCGATACACCACACGTGTGGCAGTTATCGGCGTCCTAAATTTTTGGGTCGTTATATCTTCATCCAATAGACCGTATGTACCACTGTTCATGCTAGATAACTCCTCGCACGTTGGTATGAATTTTTTAGCAACGAACTTATCAAAAATAAAATTAGAATATTATGAGAATAGTGTCACACCACATCCAACCTAGAGGTAAATGAAGGGTGCATGCATGTTATATTGTCTTGTGAAATTCAAGTTCAATTATTTATTGTGGAAAAATAAAAATAAAAATCAATGATGTGGAGGGTTTTGATGTTTTTGATGATGTGGATGGCTTGCGTGTGGTAAAAAGTAAAAAGTTAAATGGCTGCATGGGCGCTTGATGATATGGAGAGTGTGCATGTCATGGAAAGTGAGAGGAGGTGGAGAGGTTGCATGTTAAGATAAATAAGATAGTGGAGACGAACTTCTTAGGTATATCCACACACCACCCTCCGACCTAACCCTAACTACCGGTACGCTCGCCCCTCAACCTCCAACCCACACCACCATGTTGGTCGCCGCCGCGATCATCCCTCTAAGTCCCCGACCCCTCCCGGCCATCGATCCACAATAACTCCGGCGCCCCTCACAGCCCCGCTTGTAATCCACACCCATCAACCCGCTTCCTCGCCTCCGCCTGAGACATCGTGCTCGCTGACCACTCGCATTGTCGTGCTTGTCTCCTATGAGGTCCTAGCTCGGCGTCGTTGTGACCAATGCCATCGTTGTCGCTCCACACGTCGTCCCAGCCTTCAGTGCTGGTATTGAAAAAGGAGTGGCCATATTTCAGTTTATTGGAAGTAGCTACTTCACAAACGTTAGTGATATTGATAGTCACCCGATAAACATTTTTTCATCCTTTTGTATTTCACGCATCTAGATATCCAAATAGGATGGTTCTTATAGTTGAATTTTCTTAGCCGCGTGTGAAATAGCAATATCGTATTGAAAATGTCTCACTACTCTCTCTCTCTCTGCGCCAAAATACATTGTCAGAAAACTTTAGCATGATTTGAACCCATCCAGATTATTTAGGACGTCCTGACCCTTTTGTCAAAAACACAACATTGTGGCCTTCTTTCCCACTTAGACACGCCAAAGTTGATGGCGTTTTTGGCATGGCCACGACCTAGCTAAGTAGCCATTGACCTCGTACATGGCAAGGCATAAACACCGAACAGAGACGCGTTACTGGAAACGCCTTAGGCACTGACGTTTCTGCCCCGAGAAGAAACACCGGATCTTGGGGCGTTTCCAGTAACGCATGCTCACAACTAATTATCTATCGAGGGCATAAATGCTGGCTACTTTGGCGTGTCTATGTGGAGGCAGAAATGGCACGGGGATGGACTTTACCAAAAGGCTCAGATCAGGAAAGTTTGGCAAAAATGCCCCCCCCTCTCTCTCTCAAAATATTGTATGTATTGTATAGAGTATTTTTAATTCATTTTTTGTAAATTTTGACCAACTTTATAGAAAAACTTGTCAACATTTAGAATACCAAATCAATACCATTGATTTATGATGAAATATATTCCATATGGTATATATTGGGTATTGTAGATATAGTTAATTTTCTCTATATGCTTGGTCAAAGTTGTGAAGTCTGACTTACACGAGACGAGAACCAATGAAGATTATATGATGGACAGAGGGAGATTTTATTTTGAAAAATATTTTATTCTATTATTTTCCCATTATAATAACATTCATTCTCAACAATAACACTATTTTATGCAACACACCAAACTGCGATACTTGTTAGTGATGCACTTTTTGAAGGTGACAATAGAATCACCCTTTGCCCTGGTCTTGTACAAAGTCAAAAGAAAATGAAGCAAAACATGAGAATAGGTAGAGAAAAAAATCAATGGTCAAATCCAAAGAAATAAGTTGTAATGGGGGCCATTTTCATGGGGCCACTACCGTCGATGGTGCAACTAGACAAGTAAATTTCATCTCCTTCTCTCATATCTTTTGTTTATATTCAAATATCACGAGTTAGATTTGATCCAATCAATCAAGATAGTCCAAAGAAGATTCTTTTCATATTCGAATACGCAAAATATTTGTATATCTTATCATTGATAGATAGAGTTGAGTTCAAACAAAGAGAATGGATTATGGTAGCATCCCGCAAGCACGTACACCATGAAATGGCGAGAGCTGGAGCTCTAGAGCACAAATAATGGGGTATGGCCGCCCCCAAACCCAAAAACCATGTCTCCAACACAAGATGTGTTAATCCTTTAGCGTTGGCCTGGCAACAGGCTTCATCTTGGATGATCTGCGCGAGGCAAGTGATAGAAGGGTGCTCTCCGTTGAAGACACACCCATCTTGGTGCTTCCAAAGAAACCTAGAGGTGAGGATGACAAGGGTAGAGATCCCTTTCCACATGCTCGCCGGAGCCGTAGACAAGGTGGAGGCCCACCAGTCGAGGAACTCGTCAACGGGGGCACGGGATGGTTGCAGCGGCACGATTCTGAGCGAAAACTGTTGGGGAACGTAGCAGAAATTCAAAATTTTCCTACGTGTCACCAAGATCTATCTATGGAGAAACCAACAACGAGGGGAAGGAGAGAGGAGAGTGCATCTACATACCCTTGTAGATCGCTAAGCGGAAGCGTTCAAGTGAACGGGGTTGATGGAGTCGTACTCGTCGTGATTCAAATCACCGATGATCAAGTGCCGAACGCACGGCACCTCCGCGTTCAACACACGTACAGCCCGGTGACATATCCCACGCCTTGATCCAGCAAGGAGAGAGGGAGAGGTTGAGGAAGACTCCATCCAACAGCAGCACAACGACGTGGTGGTGGTGGAGGAGCGTGGCAATCCTGCAGGGCTTCGCCAAGCACCACGGGAGAGGAGGAGTACTTGTGAGAGGGGGAGGGCTGCACCAGAACTTCGTGTATAGCTCCCATGCGCCTCCCCACTATATATAGGGGTGGAGGGGCTGGTTTCTTGCCCTCCAAGTCCATTGGGGCGTTGGCCAAGGTGGGAGGAAAGAAATCTCATTATTTCCTTCCCCACCGATTGTTATCCCCCCTTTTTAGGGATCTTGATCTTATCCCTTTGGGATATGATCTTATTCCTTCTAAGGGGGGATCTTGGTGCGCCTTGACCAGGGGTGTGGGGCCTTGCCCCCACTACCCACGTCCATGTGGGTCCCCCCATGCAGGTGGGCCCCACTCCGGAACCTTCTAGAACCTTCCCGGTACAATACCGAAAAATCCCGAACATTTTCCGGTGGCCAAAATAGGACTTCCCATATATAAATCTTTACCTCCGGACCATTCCGGACTCCTCGTGACGTCCGGGATCTCATCCGGGACTCCGAACAACATTCGGTAACCACATACAAACTTCCTTTATAACCCTAGCGTCATCGAACCTTAAGTGTGTAGACCCTACGGGTTCGGGAGACATGTAGACATGACCGAGACGTTCTCCGGTCAATAACCAACAGCGGGATCTGGATACCCATGATGGCTCCCACATGTTCCACGATGATCTCATCGGATGAACCACGATGTCAAGGACTTAATCAATCCCGTATTCAATTCCCTTTGTCTATCGGTATGTTACTTGCCCGAGATTCGATCGTCGGTATCCAATACCTTGTTCAATCTCGTTACCGGCAAGTCACTTTACTCGTTCCGTAACACATCATCCCGTGATCAACTCCTTGGTCACATTGCGCATATGATGATGTCCTACCGAGTGGGCCCAGAGATACCTCTCCGTTTACACGGAGTGACAAATCCCAATCTCGATCCGCATAAAACAATAGATACTTTCGGAGATACCTGTAGTGCACCTTTATAGTCACCCAGTTACGTTGTGACGTCTGATACACCCAAAGCACTCCTACGGTATCCAGGAGTTACACGCTCTCATGGTCGAAGGAAGAGATACTTGACATTGGCAAAGCTCTAGCAAATGAACTACACGATCTTTTGTGCTAGTCTTAGGATTGGGTCTTGTCCATCACATCATTCTCCTAATGATGTGATCCCGTTATCAACGACATCCAATGTCCATAGCCAGGAAACCATGACTATCTGTTGATCACAACGAGCTAGTCAACTAGAGGCTCACTAGGGACATATTGTGGTCTATGTATTCACACGTGTATTACGATTTCCGGATAATACAGTTATAGCATGAATAAAAGACAATTATCATGAACAAGGAAATATAATAATAATACTTTTACTATTGCCTCTAGGGCATATTTCCAACAGTCTCCCACTTGCACTAGAGTCAATAATCTAGTTCACATCGCCATGTGATTAACACTCACAGGTCACATCGCCATGTGACTAATACCCAAGAGTTTACTAGAGTCAGTAGTCTAGTTCACATCACTATGTGATTAACACTCAATGAGTTTTATGTTTTATCATGTTGCTTGTGAGAGAGGTTTTAGTCAACAGGTCCGAACCTTTTAGATCCGTGTGTGCTTTACAAATCTCTATGTCATCTCCTAGATGTAGCTACCACGCTCTATTTGGAGCTATTCCAAATAACTGTTCTACTTGGAGCTATTCTAAATTGTTGCCCCATAATACGTATCCGGTATCTCTTCTTAGAGCTATCCGGATAGGTGTTAAGCTTGCATCGACGTAACCTTTATGACGAACTCTTTTACCACCTCCATAATCAAGAAAATTCCTTAGTCCACTAGTTACCAAGGATAACTTTGACCGCTGTCTGTGATCCATTCATGGATCACTCTTGTACCCCTTGACTGACTCATGGCAAGGCACACTTCAGGTGCGGTACTCAGCATGGCATACTGTAGAGCCTATGTCTTAAGCATAGGGGACGACCTTCGTCCTTTCTCTCTATTCTGCCGAGGTCGAGCTTTAAGTCTTAACTTCATACCTTACAACTCAGGCAAGAACTCCTTCTTTGACTGGTCCATCTTGAACACCTTCAAGGTCATGTCAAGGTATGTGCTCATTTGAAAGTATTATTAAGCATTTTGATCTATCCTTATAGATCTTGATGCTCAATGTTCAAGTAGCTTAATCCAGGTTTTCCATTGAAAAACACTTTCAAAATAACCCTATATGCTTTCCAGAAATTCTACGTCATTTCTGATCAACAATATGTCAACAACATATACTCATCAGAAATTCTATAGTGCTCCCACTCACTTCTTTGGAAATACAAGTTTCTCATAAACTTTGTACAAACCCAAAATCTTTGATCATCATCAAAGCATACATTCCAACTCCGAGATGCTCACTCCAGTCCTTAGAAGGATTGCTGGAGCTTTGCATACTTATTAGCATCTTTCGGGATTGACAAAACCTTCCGGTTGTATCACATACAACCTTTCCTCAAGAAAATCGTCGAGGAAACAATGTTTTGACATCCTATCTGCAAGATTTCATAAATAGTGCAGTAATCGCTAATATAATTCCAACAGACTCTTAGCATCGCTACGAGTGAGAAAATCTCATCGTAGTCAACTCCTTGAACTTGTCGGAAAACATCTTAACGACAAGTCGAGCTTTCTTAATGGTAATTCTTACCATCATTGTCTGTCTTCCTTTTAAAATCCATCCATACTCATTTGCCTTACGACCATCGAGCCGTTCTGCCAAAGTCTTCACTTTGTTTTCATACATGGATCCTCTCTCGGATTTTATGGCCTCAAGCCATTTATCGAAATCCGGGCCCACCATCGCTTCTCCATAGCTCGTAGGCTCATTGTTGTCTAGCAACATGACTTCCAAGACAGGATTACGTACCACTCTCAAGTAGTACGCATCCTTGTCATCCTACGAGGTTTGGGAGTGACTTGATCTGAAGTTTCATGATCACTATCATAAGCTTCCACTTCAATTGGTGTAGGTGCCACGGGAACAACTTCATGTGCCCTGCTACACACTGGTTGAAGTGATGGTTCAATAACCTCATCAAGTCTCCACCATCCTCCCACTCAATTCTTTCGAGAGAAACCTTTCCTCGAGAAAGGACCTGATTCAAGAAACAATCCTTTATTGCTTTTGGATCTGAGACAGGAGGTATACCCAACTGTTTTGGGTGTCCTATGAAGATGCATTTATCCGCTTTGGGTTCTAGCTTATCAGCCTGAAACTTTTTCACATAAGCGTCGTAGCCCCAAACTTTTAAGAAACGACAACTTAGGTTTCTCTAAACCATAATTCATACGGTGTCATCTCAACGGAATTACGTGGTGCCCTATTTAAAGTGAATGTGGTTGTCTCTAATGCCTAACCCATGAACGATAGTGGTAATTCGATAAGAGACATCATGGTATGCATCATATCCAATAGGGTGCAGTTATGATGTTCGGACACACCATCACACTATGGTGTTCCAGGCGGTATTAATTGCGAAACAATTTCCACAATGTCTTAATTGTGTGCCAAAACTCGTAACTCAGATACTCATCTCTATGATCTTATCATAGACATTTTATCCTCTTGTCACGATGATCTTCAACTTTACTCTGAAATTACTTGAACCATTCAATAATTCAGACTTGTGTTTCATCAAGTAAATATATTCAACATCTACTCGAATCATCTATGAAGTAAGAACATAATGATATTCACTGCATGCCTCAGCACTCATTGGACTACACACATCAAAATGTGTTACTTCCAACAAGTTGCTATCTTGTTCCATCTTACTGAAACCGAGGCTTTTCAGTCATCTTGCCCATGTGGTATGATTTGCATATCTCAAGTGATTCAAAATCAAGTGAGTTCAAACGGTCCATTTGCATGGAGTTTCTTCATGCATATATACCAATAGACATGGTTTGCATGTCTCAAACTTTTCAAAAATGAGTGAGTCCAAAGATCCATCAACATGGAGCTTCTTCATGCATTTTATACCGATATGACTTACGTGGCAGTGCCACAAATAGGTGGTACTATCATTACTATCTTTTGGCATGAACATGTGTATCACTACGATCGAGATTTCAATGAACCATTCATTTTAGGTGCAAGACCATTGAAGGTATTATTCAAATAAATAGAGTAACCATTATTCTCTTTAAATGAATAACCGTATTGCGATAGACATAATCCAATCATGTCTATGCTCAACGCAAACACCAAATCTCGATGGTAGAGGGAGCGTGCGATGCTTGATCATATCAACATTGGAAACACTTCCAACACATATCGTCAGCTCACCTTTAGCTAGTCTCCGTTTATGCCGTAGCTTTTATTTCGAGTTACTAACGCTTAGCAACCGAACCGGTATCTTATACCCTAGTGCTACTAGGAGTACTAGTAAAGTACACATTAACATAATGTATATCCAATATACTTCTATCGACCTTGCCAACCTTCTCATCTACCAACTATCTAGGGTAATTCTGCTCTAGTGACTGTTCCCCTTATTACAGAAGCACTTAGTCTCGGGTTTGGGTTCAACCTTGGGTTTCTTCACTGGAGCAGCAACTGATTTGTCGTTTCATGAAGTATCCCTTCTTGCCCTTGCCCTTCATGAAACTAGTGGTTTCACCAACCATCAACAATTGATGCTCCTTCTTGATTTCTACTTTCGCGGTGTCAAACATCGTGAATACCTCAAGGATCATCTTATTTATCCCTGATATGTTATAGTTCATCACGAAGCTCTAGCAGCTCGGTGGCAATGACTTTGGAGAAACATCACTATCTCATTTGGAAGATCAACTCCCACTCAATTCAAGTGATTGTTGCACTCAGACAATCTGAGCACAAGCTCAACGATTGAGATTTTCTCCCTTAGTTTGCAGGCTAAGAGAATCGTCGGAGGTCTTATACCTCTTGACGTGAGCACGAGCCTGAAATCCCAATTTCAGCCCTCGAAACATCTCATATGTTCCGTGATGTTTCGAAAACGTCTTTGGTGCCTCTACTTAAACCATTTAACTGAACTATCGCGTAGTTATCAAAACGTGTATGTTCGATGTTCGAAACATCCACAAACGACGTTTGGGGTTCAGCACACTAAGCAGTGCATTAAGGACATAAGCTTTCTATTGTTCGCATAATCGCTACTATCAACTTTCAACTATATTTTCTCTAGGAACATATCTAAAACAGTAGAACTAAAGCGCGAGCTACGACATAATTTGCAAAAGGTCTTTTGACTATGTTCAGGATAATTAAGTTCATCTTATGAACTCCCACTCAGATAGACATCCCTCTGGTCATCTAAGTGATTACATGATCCGAGTCAACTAGGCCGTGTCCGATCATCACGTGAGACGGTCTAGTCATCATCGATGAACATCTTCATGTTGATCGTATCTACTATACAACTCATGCTCGACCTTTCGGTCTCCGTGTTCCGAGGCCATGTCTGTACATGCTAGGCTCGTCAAGTTAACCCTAAGTGTTTTCGCTGTGTAAAACTGTCTTACACCCGTTGTATGTGAACGTAAGAATCCATCACACCCGATCATCACGTGGTGCTTAGAAGCGACGAACTGTAGCAACGGTGCACAGTTAGGGGAGAACACTTCTTGAAATTTTGTAAGGGATCATCTTATTTACTACCGTCGTTCTAAGCAAACAAGATGCATAAACATGATAAACATCACATGCAATCAAATAGAGTAGTGACATGATATGGCCAATATCATATAGCTCCTTTGATCTTCATCTTCGGGGCTCCATGATCATCTTGTCACCGGCATGACACCATGATCTCCATCATCATGATCTCCATCATCGTGTCTCCATGAAGTCGTCTCGCCAACTTATTACTTCTACTACTTTGGCTACCGGTTAGCAAAAAAGTAAAGTAATTACATGGTGTTGTTCAATGACACGCAGGTCATACAATAAATAACGACAACTCCTATGGCTCCTGCCGGTTGTCATACTCATCGACATGCAAGTCGTGAATCCTATTACAAGAACATGATCAATCTCATACATCACATATCATTCATCACATTCTTCTTGGCCATATCACATCACAAAGCATACCCTGCAAAAACAAGTTAGACGTCCTCTAATTGTTGTTTGCATGTTTTACGTGGCTGCTATGGGTTTCTAGCAAGAACGTTTCTTACCTACGCAAAACCACAACGTGATATGCCAATTGCTATTTACCCTTCATAAGGACCCTTTTCATAGAATCCGTTCCGATAAAGTGGGAGACTGGCACCCGCTAGCCACCTTATGCACCAAGTGCATGTCAATCGGTGGAACCTGTCTCACGTAAGAGTACGTGTAAGGTCGGTCCGGGCCGCTTCATCCCACAATACCGTCGAAACAAGATTGGACTAGTAAAGGTAAGCATATTGAACAACATCAACGCCCACAACTACTTTGTGTTCTACTCGTGCAAAGAATCTACGCAATAGACCTAGCTCATGATGCCACTGTTGGGGAACGTAGCAGAAATTCAAAATTTTCCTACGTGTCACCAAGATCTATCTATGGAGAAACCAGCAACGAGGGGAAGGAGAGAGGAGAGTGCATCTACATACCCTTGTAGATCGCTAAGTGGAAGCGTTCAAGTGAACGGGGTTGATGGAGTCGTACTCGTCGTGATTCAAATCACCGATGATCAAGTGCCGAACGCACGGCACCTCCGCGTTCAACACACGTACAGCCCGGTGACGTCTCCCACGCCTTGATCCAGCAAGGAGAGAGGGAGAGGTTGAGGAAGACTCCATCCAACAGCAGCACAACGGCGTGGTGGTGGTGGAGGAGCGTGGCAATCCTGCAGGGCTTCGCCAAGCACCACGGGAGAGGAGGAGTACTTGTGAGAGGGGGAGGGCTGCACCAGAACTTCGTGTATAGCTCCCATGCGCCTCCCCACTATATATAGGGGTGGAGGGGCTGGTTTCTTGCCCTCCAAGTCCATTGGGGCGTTGGCCAAGGTGGGAGGAAAGAAATCTCATTATTTCCTTCCCCACCGATTGTTATCCCCCCTTTTTAGGGATCTTGATCTTATCCCTTCGGGATATGATCTTATTCCTTCTAAGGGGGGATCTTGGTGCGCCTTGACCAGGGGTGTGGGGCCTTGCCCCCACTACCCACGTCCATGTGGGTCCCCCCATGCAGGTGGGCCCCACTCTGGAACCTTCTAGAACCTTCCCGGTACAATACCGAAAAATCCCGAACATTTTCCGGTGGCCAAAATAGGACTTCCCATATATAAATCTTTACCTCCGGATCATTCCGGAACTCCTCGTGACGTCCGGGATCTCATCCGGGACTCCGAACAACATTCGGTAACCACATACAAACTTCCTTTATAACCCTAGCGTCATCGAACCTTAAGTGTGTAGACCCTACGGGTTCGGGAGACATGTAGACATGACTGAGACGTTCTCCGGTCAATAACCAACAGCGGGATCTGGATACCCATGATGGCTCCCACATGTTCCACGATGATCTCATCAGATGAACCACGATGTCAAGGACTTAATCGATCCCGTATTCAATTCCCTTTGTCTATCGGTATGTTACTTGCCCGAGATTCGATCGTCGGTATCCAATACCTTGTTCAATCTCGTTACCGGCAAGTCACTTTACTCGTTCCGTAACACATCATCCCGTGATCAACTCCTTGGTCACATTGCGCATATGATGATGTCCTACCGAGTGGGCCCAGAGATACCTCTCCGTTTACACGGAGTGAAAAATCCCAGTCTCGATCCGCATAAAACAATAGATACTTTCGGAGATACCTGTAGTGCACCTTTATAGTCACCCAGTTACGTTGTGACGTTTGATACACCCAAAGCACTCCTACGGTATCCAGGAGTTACACGCTCTCATGGTCGAAGGAAGAGATACTTGACATTGGCAAAGCTCTAGCAAATGAACTACACGATCTTTTGTGTTAGTCTTAGGATTGGGTCTTGTCCATCACATCATTCTCCTAATGATGTGATCCCGTTATCAACGACATCCAATGTCCATAGCCAGGAAACCATGACTATCTGTTGATCACAACGAGCTAGTCAACTAGAGGCTCACTAGGGACATATTGTGGTCTATGTATTCACACGTGTATTACGATTTCCGGATAATACAGTTATAGCATGAATAAAAGACAATTATCATGAACAAGGAAATATAATAATAATACTTTTATTATTGCCTCTAGGGCATATTTCCAACAAAAACATCATGTTAGACTTGATGGGTGAAGGAACAATCGACAAGGAGATGAAGCCTGATCTGGGATTTCTGGTCACAGATGGCACTACATAGTGGGTGCGAAATCAACCCACGAGCAAACCGGTCCGCGGTCCAACACTTTTCGTGGATAGCAAGCAAAAAAAACACCTTGACATGAAGAGGAGCCTAAGATCACCAAGAGAGCTTCTAGTGTGGGGGCAATGATAGAGCCCCTAAACATGGCCAGGTTACAAGACTTGGCATTGTAGATACCAAAAGAGCTCCAATGCCAGGAGTGGGCGTTCGCTGCCGTGGACAGAGTAGTTTGATGAACACCCATCCATAAGTCCACGTATTGCACCAAGGACATCATGGACAATGTGGGTCTTGTGCAGTCTGCGCGATAGCAGATCAAAGTTGAGGGACATGAACTCGACAATGAACATAGTCACTCCTGCACTAAACCCTCTAAACCGTGGAACTGTAATTGCAAAATTACCAGTATTTACCAATTAATTCTCTATGCTTCCTTCCATTGGTACATTTGTAGCATTTGCTCCCCAACCCTTCTCTTGGGTGCATGTGCCACTACATATGCGGTGTAGTATACAAAGTGTGAAATGGCATTACAATTTTGCTATTACTGAATTGTAAGAACCATATGGCAAAATGACTAGCAAAATTTCTCCCTCGAATGTTGGCATACATCATTTAGCTCAATTTCAATGGAAACTACATGCAACGAAACCCTATACACTAATCCCAGTTTGGCAAGGGCACCACTAAGAAATATGGTCAAAGTTGGGTACCATCTGCAAGGGTTGTTTTGGAGTTAGCAATGGTGGATGATAAGCATGAGTGTTTGTTGATTGTCGTCACACACTTATGATGACAAAGGTCAATTAGGAGGGCTTGAGTAGGTAGTGCGGATACGTGCATATCCAAGGTGCGACCGTGTGTAAAGACTATTGAAGTATTTGTCTGCCATTTTTCATCAGTTCAGACTTTTGAAACAACTGACCAAAGCATAAATTTAATATGATATCCGAGATCAGCAGTCTCAAGTTCAAGACTTGAATGTTTCGTTTTGTTTTCAATGACTGTCCATGTCTGTGTTGCAGTCGAGGCAGTTTATGAACTCTAGTATTGGGTGTTGTCGTTTCAGAAACGAAATTGAAGGGCGAGACTTGTTTTCTCAGGGAAAATAGTAGCGCAAAAAATTGTTTAAGAAAGGTGCTTAGATGCATTGAGGGAAAAAAGTGACATTAGACAGAGAAAACTACCACCTATGTTCCAAATTATGAGACAATATTTTAATATAGACTACATATAGATGAAAATGAGTAGATAAACATAGTAGAATAAGTCTATATACATCTTATTTAAAAAAAATCAGAATTAAGGGAGTACATTTAATATCCAGACCGGAAAGCCTATGTGCACAAGTTCTCAAAGCATGATACTACCCACACGGCAAGCTTGAGGATACTGTTTTCACGGATAATGCCTCCTCATGGCAAGCAATCAGCCATGGTCTAGACTTACTAAAGAAAGGGTTAATATGGCATGTTGGAAACGACAGAAGCATAAGAGTGTGGCGAGACAACTGGATCCCCCGACCCTTTTCATTCAGACCCATCTCACGGCAAGGCGTGTGCCGTGCGCGTTTTGTCTCTGCCTTGTTAAATGATAATGGATCTTGGAAGGTTGAGCTGCTCTCTCGCTATTTCGTTGCTGCTGATGTTGAAGAGATCCTGAAGATCAGGGCTTCTCCGAGACTAGATGATGATTTCCTTGCATGGGCACCTGAAAAGTATGGAGTCTTCACATTTAGGAGCGCCTATCGTCTGGCGTTTGATGAGCTGCACCAAGGGTCCGTGGCCTCCTCTAGTTCAGCGCCAACGGGAGCCAGGGGGTGCTGGAAGTTCATTTGGAATTGCGGCGCTACACCTTCGATTGCAAATTTTGCATGGCGAGTGGCAACGGACAGTCTACCAACCTAGAAAAATAAATGCAGGATTAGCCTTGAAATTACTAGTACATGCCCAGTTTGTGGAGTTGCAACAGAAGACAATTTTCACCCCTTTGTGAAGTGTCAATATGGCCGGGATCTATATAGGTCAATGGCAAAAATTTGGAGACTGCCCAATATAGAAACATTCATCCCTACTGGCAAGGAATGGTTGCTACATGTCCTAGCTATTTTGAGCGGTTTGGAACGGTGCATACTGTTGATGATATTCTGGAGATGCTGGTATGTAAGGAATGAGCTAGTACACTCAAAGCCTGCTCCGCCAATGGACGTATCCATCAGGTTCTTGCAAAGCTATATGGAGTCCTTGATGGCAGTAAAGTCAAACTCACGTTGTGACCCTGCTAAAGGAAAGCTGACGATCGGTCTGGACGGTGCCACTAAGCACACAAGTGCAGCGGTGGGTGCTCTACCGACGTGGTCTAGGCCGGTGAATGGATGGGTAAAACTTAATACAGATGGGTCTTTTGTCTCAAGTGAAATAGCTGGAGCAGGGATGATTCTGAGAGACTCGGACGGCAAGATCATCTTTTCGGCGTGCAGGGCTCTATTCTCCTGTAGAGATGCTTTGGAGGCTGAACTGTGTGCCTGTATAACGGACATCTCTTATGCTTTACAGCGATCAGATTTGCCTATTACAATCGAATTGGACTCTTTTGTGGTGTATCTATGATCACATGTGATGGTTGTGATCAGTCTGCTTATGCTTTTCTGGTAAAGGAGATTAGATATCTTCTTAGTCTTCGTTAATCTTGTATTACTCATGTCTTGCGGTCGCAAAATAAGGCCAGCGATAGTCTAGCTGCGTTTGGTAGAGCTCAAGGTAGAACCGTGACCTGGATTGGTTCGGCTCCTCCGGATGTGTTAGAACTGATTGCGATGGATTGTACTGATATTATCTGAGTAATACAAGTTTTGAACCCGCAAAAAAAACATCAGAATTAAGGGAGTACATTGAAATTTCGCATGAAGAGTTGCATACACGTGGAGAAACTCCAGTACGAGGAGCTTCTCGGAAAGCCAGAGGAAAAGACAAGGACGGAGAAACCAAGGCGGATGGCCGCCAGCAGCAGCAAAGCCTGCGATGCCACCAGATAGATCGCCGCGGAGATCCCTAAACCCCCGCAGTCCTGCACCGCCAGAACAGCTCCACCCTCCACCCACCCACCATCCTCCGACGGCGCCGCCTCCTCGCGTCCTCCGCCCCGCCGTCCTTGCCGTTGCCGTCGCCGTCACCTCCATCTCTCCCTCTCCGCCTGTTCCCTCCTACTACTCCCCGCCACCCGCATTGCAACATTTGCTCCCTTCCTCAACCTCCCCAGAGCCCTCCCCTGCTTCCCGGCCGGCCGAGCCTCACCCCAGCCCCCAGGTACCGCTCCCAGCTCTCCCTCCCGTCTCTCTGTCTCTCTAGCCCTTACTCCGTTGGGTTTGGTTTCCAGAACTCAAGGATCCGAATTCTGCTATACGTATCAGCATTCTAATTTCTATGTGCACAGTCATCTGTAATTGGTCCTATAATTGTAGCCTTCTAGAAGAGAAAATGAATTATATCACTGACAGTGTTACTATCTCTAAATCACGCTATGTTTGGAGAACATCTCACCTCATGGAAGAATTGTTTCAGGTTTATCCTTTCAAGGCCTCTCTGATTCGACGCGCCTTGAGCTAAAAAAATATTATAAGCCTGTATTTCAAGAAACATGAATCCTTATTTCATCGGTTTTGTCATCCCGTTTGTGGCATCTCTGATGCTCACCAAGAGGAAGGCTGAGAAGGCTGAGAAGAAAAGGGGTCTGCCCGTCGATGTGGGTGGTGAGCCTGGCTATGCCATCCGTAACTACAGGTCCGAACAGCCCGTCGAGACGCACTGGGAAGGGATTTTCACGCTCGCCGAGCTATTCGAACAGTCCTGCAAGCAGTATGCCTACATGCCCCTGCACGGCACCAGGAAGCTCATTTCAAGGGAAACAGAGGTGGCTGCTGATGGAAGATCATTCGAGAAGCTCCATCTGGGGGAGTATGAGTGGAAAACTTACATCGAAGCATTCAAGGCTGTATGCAACTTCTCATCCGGTCTGATCCAAATTGGGCACCAGAAGGACGAGCGTGTTGCTATCTTTGCTGATACGCGAGCTGAGTGGCAGATTGCGTTGCAGGTAACTTCTCCACCAATGTACTAAAATTAGCAAAAACATGTGCCGTGCTTTCGGCCTTCCGTGCATCAAGCCGTCAAGTACCTAAATTATATTTGTGCATATTGGTCTTCATGTATCTTCAACTGCCATCTCGAAAATGCAAGCTTTGCCTAAATATATACTACAGGATGCTGGTTCTGCATTTTCAAAGGTGTTAAAACATTATAGTAATAGCTTGCATAAAGATAGGAAAATGCATGCCACGACAATAGTTATACATTCTCGTAAGTTCTGTAAAAGCAAGTCCTTATTTGGGAGGTCCGATCCCGTTCAAGGTCTTGGCCCAGTCCTAACTTGCATGAACTGGGATTGGCAGGGGTTGGGATCCTGGCAGGATCAGGCTTCCCAAGCCAAGACTGATATCTCAAATAGGACCCCTTCAGTTTAACACATTTATGAACGCGGGGCTATGCAGGTTGCTATGGCCATGTTACAAGTAAATTTTTCCATGAAGCGGGATATATGTTCCTATTCTTACTCTTTTGACAATATCATGTAAATGCTAGGGTTGGAACATTTCAAAGATACTAAAGACCAGATAGTCCATCATCATCCTTGCATATAAACTGAATAATGTTAGTGATCTAGATGAACATAATGAGGCAAAAAGAAGTAGACTAACGATGGAGATATGAATCTATATAAAAAATCCTGTTTCTCCACATAAACATTGTTTTCTTTTTCTGAACATGGAATTGCTTCAGCTTAATTACTTTATGAGTATTTTTCTTATTTTATTTTATTTTTGGAAAAAGCGTGTGTTTGTTATGTTACTTGCATTATGTTAACATTCTGCTCTGTAAATCATTTGCAAGTTCTCTAACCATTTTTTTTTCTGTTTCCAAGGCATGCTTCAGACAAAACATTACAGTGGTCACCATTTATGCCTCCTTGGGAGAGGGAGCACTTTGTCACTCACTAAATGAGGTCGGTTCACTATATACTCTGTGCATCCATGAACTCAAGACAACTGATTTTTTTAGTTATAGCATTGTCTTTTGTTGGTAGGCACCAAAAATGCAAGCAACAGTTACCACAATATCATTTTTTTATATTATCACTTAAGGAAATGGTTGGCATATCTATTTTATCAGAATAAAGCATACCTTATGTTTCTGCTGTGTGGTACAGTTGCTAATCTTGTTATTTTTTGACTCTTTAGACTGAGGCAACTACTGTGATCTGTGGACGGAAAGAACTAAAAAAACTTATTGATATAAATGGGCAACTTGATACTTTGAAACATGTCGTCTACATAAGTGAGGACGGTGTCTCAAGTGAAGTATCCTTGGCTAAACAATGCACTAACTGGAGAGTCGAGTCATTTGAAGAGGTAGAGAGGCTAGGGTTGGAAACACCTATCGAAGCAAATTTACCTCTCCCATCTGATACAGCAGTGATAATGTATACAAGTGGGAGCACCGGAATGCCCAAGGTTTGTTCAAATCCATGTTCACTATATTTAATTTTTGGTCTAGTTTTATCGGAGGTGCTCAATTGTCTGCTAATGCTCATGTACTCATGGTGGAACACTCCTGATATGTAGACCACTAATGCATGTCCTTTCTGAGTTCATCTGCTCTACAGCCCTGCTGATCGAGGAAACATTATTCTCATTTGTACATTTTCCACAGGGTGTCATGATGAGCCATCGCAATGTCTTGGCTACAGCATCAGCTGTTATGACTATTGTGCCTGCACTTGGTAAGAAGGATGTCTACTTGGCGTACCTCCCGCTTGCACACATTCTTGAGTTGGCAGCTGAGGTAGGTATAGTGTGTCATATCAGTATTTCAATTTATTTCGTGGCATCAGTATACTTATACTAATTACATTTCTGTAAATGTGTGGTCTAGACGATTATATCTGCTGTTGGGGCTTCTATAGGATATGGATCACCATTGACCCTGACTGATACATCAAATAAAATTAAAAAGGGGACCAAAGGTGATGCCTCTGCACTGAGGCCAACACTTATGACTGCGGTACCTGCTATACTTGACCGTGTTCGTGATGGCGTGAGAAAAAATGTATTGCCCTCTACGGTGCCATCATCTATTTCTTTTCTGTGTTTTTTAATCTCTGTACTGAATTGTTGTTAATATTGAGATGAACTTAGGTTGATGCAAAGGGTGGTGTAGCCAAGAAACTATTTGATATCGCCTACAGCCGTCGGCTAGCTGCTGTCAATGGAAGTTGGTTTGGTGCATGGGGATTAGAGAAGCTTGTGTGGGACATGCTTGTCTTCCAGAAAGTGCATGCAATCTTGGGAGGCCGGATTCGCTTTATACTTTCAGGCGGAGCGCCTCTGTCTGGAGAAACTCAGAGATTTATCAATATATGCCTTGGGTGAGATATATAGATCCTCAGTTTTTTTTGCAAAAAGAAGTTATCTTAAGTTCTTTCTGTTGACAGCAATTATGTTTATACTCCACTATTACTTGCTGTGTTTGGATTTCATACATTTCAAATATAACTGGTGTATTATATACATTTCATACATTTACAAGCCCAGAAATTGATCGGCCGAGTTTTGCTGTTACAGGGCTCCAATAGGGCAAGGATATGGTCTAACTGAAACGTGTGCTGGCGGGACATTCTCTGAGTACAATGACACATCTGTTGGTCGTGTTGGTGCTCCATTGTCTTGTTCGTTCATTAAGGTATAAAAGAAAGATATACTTTATCATTTCATAATGTTGATATGGTTTGTAGTTCCACTTTCCATAGCAAAGCTATTATGTTCATACATATATTTACTGTTAATGGTGTATCTTTGCCCTAGAAAGATGTCTGACGAGGTACGTATTGAAGGTGTTCCCCAAGTTGTGAAGGACATGTTAATATTTCGTTTGTGGATCAGCTTATGTTTTCAAATGGTTGGTGTAATTCTTCCATGTGTGTGGATAGTGCTACCAGATCGGTAACTTTGCAGTTAGTCCAAGTTAATATGCATGGCAATTTTGTCTATCTAGTGCCTTGCAGTTATATTTTCATGCCCCTAAGCATAAAACTAGAAACACATAATATTGCGCAAAAAGAACCTATGCGTTAACAATTAGTGGATTTTGTCTTTGCCCATCGAGTTTTATTCTTCTCCCTTTCCTTCAGATTCAATTCTTTACTAACATAATTGTAACTCTACATGATAGTTGATAGATTGGGTTGAAGGTGGATACTTGACATCTGATTCACCAATGCCTCGGGGAGAAATCATTATTGGAGGCCCAAATGTAACCAAAGGCTATTTCAAAAATGAGGCCAAAACAAATGAGGTCTACAAGGTATGTTACCAACCACAGTAATATTACAAAGCTGTCTATGTTGTGATTAAAAAGAAATCGTAAAAGTATGTATCTTGTTCAGGATGATGAGAGAGGAATGAGGTGGTTCTACTCTGGTGACATTGGGCGTTTGCACCCAGATGGCTGCCTCGAAATCATTGACAGGAAGAAGGATATAGTTAAGCTTCAACATGGTGAATATGTATCGCTAGGAAAGGTAATACGGTTTCTTTTTCTGGCCAAACACACGGCTATTTCAGCACTTCTCGACTTACGACCAGGCCAAACAAGTAGCTAGTAGCTCTCTTCCTAACGAAGTACACGATCACAGGTGGAGGCTACTTTGAGTGTGAGCCCGTATGTTGACAACATCATGGTCCACGCGGATCCCTCCCAAAACTACTGTGTTGCACTCGTTGTAGCTGCGCACGGTGAGCTAGAAAACTGGGCCTCAAAACAAGGGATTGCATATTCTGATTTCCCCGATCTGTGCCAGAAGCAAGAGACTGTCAAAGAAGTTCTACAGTCGTTGGCAAAGGTCCGTGTTTCTCCTGCACTCTGATCGAATTTTCAGTCGTTTGCTAACCGTTGCACGCGTGATTGATTGTACTGTGCCGTTGCTCTAAATTGGTCTTCAGGCTGGTAAGCAATCGCGGCTGGAGAAGTTTGAGATCCCTGCCAGGATCAAGCTGATACCGGAGCCATGGACCCCCGAGTCGGGTCTCGTCACCGCTGCCCTCAAGCTCAAGAGGGAGGTCATCAAGAAGGGTTATCAGGACGATCTTGCTAAGCTGTACAGATAGTGTCCCTTTGTTAGGGAGAACAACATTCCTCATCTGTGTTGTGTTTCAGACAGTGGACAGATAGTGTCCCTTTGTTAGCAAGAACAAAACTTCTCATATGTGTTGTGTTTCAAACAGTGGATCGAGACAGACAGTATATTGAACTCTAGTATGTGTACTTGATGATTTACCGTTGTATTTCAGCTAGAGATCATGTTCTCCTCAGTTAAACTTCTCATGGAACATCTCTGAATCTTGCTGTCATGATTCACACATGAGTTACTGCTACACAAGGATGTGTAGGTTCTGGGTATTAGTTATCTCCGTAAATTCTTTGAAACATCAGCTTTTAGAATGTACCCCCACTGTTCACTGTTATAAAATGTTTCTCATATTTCAATATGGACTACAAAATGCGTCTATATACATCTGATTCATTACTCCCTCTACAACTTTGTACTAAATCGCCGACAATTAATCTCAGAGTGTAACATCTTATAATTGTGAACGGAGGGAGTAGCGTATTAGAACAGTGAACAGACGAAAGTTGGGTAAATTGTTCGCCAAAAAATAAGCCATGCTACACATAAGCCAAGTTTGTAGCCTATATGAATTGCAAGTTTGTGGCTTCAACAAATGTTTAGCAGCAAAGCAGACAAACCACATTAATTTTCTAACCATGCAGAAAAAGAGTATGAATTTGAATCAAGGAATTAGAGTGGAGAAAAGAGATGAACATAATATAATCATAAATTTATTATTTAGCTACAATGCGTGTTTTTATTCACCACCAGTAGGATTAAAACCCATATAACCAGGAGCAGCAATCCAGCCTACCCCAAAATCCTCTGCACGAACAGCAAACGCCCACCACAACCCAAAAAGAACGAAAACGGTACTGGAAGTGTCACCTTCCTTAATAATCTACAAATATCTCCTTAATACATCAAAATTAGAACTTTTCAATGCTTCAGCTTCTCAAGAATGTAGCCTGTGTGGCAATTGCAGAATGGTAGAGCGAGGCGCCTAATCCGCACGGGACTGGCCGGCACGGGACGACAGGATGATGCCCACGATGAGACCGTAAAGGGCAAGTGCTTCTGCGAAAATGAGGATAAGGATCATACCCACGAACAGCTTTGGTTGTTGCGCGTTAGCCCTGCAATCAAAATCCACAAGAGGTCAACACTGGATTCAACTGTAGGAGGCTTGCAGTGCAGCCCCCATACAAAACAGTATCAATATGAAACTGAAAAACTGTGAAGGGAACACTGATCAACCACATCATAGAGTAACATAGTAACTGTTCCAAATAGTAATACTCCAATATTGGTTCAAGGAGTATAATATAGTCGACATTAAACATTTATTGCAAATCAAATATGTCAGAATCAAATCACAAGCTTATCCAAGAACATGTACTTTCGAATGTAAATCTGCAATATTGTTTCAAAATATTGCAGGCAAAATGTCTTATAACCAATACACAGCTATTATTTAAACATCAGGTCTTACAGATACAAAGACCAAACAATAACTTAAGGTAGTGCCCTCAATACTTGCTGCTCACATCAGAACTACATAAGCGCAATATCAGCATATACTATATGTTCATCGTATATTATAGCAATAAAGTTATCATAATAGTATGAAAAAATGTTAAATTAAAGTCACTTGCGATGTTTTCTGCATTAAATTTATGATAAAATCTAGAGATAATTCCATAGTCACAAGTACGAGCAAGATCATTCAAACACATAACTGACTCTATTTATTACCATATAGATTGGATGGATTACAAACAGAAGGATCCACAATATCATAGGATTCTAGGAGATTTCGTTCTTAATTACCCAGGCTAAAAATAACGAAAGAAATAATTCTCGCTTTGTAGAAATACATGCTACTACCAATATCAACATTAATAAACTAATCACAAAGGGAGTAGCCACGTCTGTTTTGGAAAAACAGATCCATGATGCTCATTGGGCATAAACTAATGCAGCGCTAATTATTAATCAAACCGTAATGCACAGCACTAACTAGCTACGAGCATACACATACCGCTTAAAAGTCAAAGACGAAAGGTTAAAGTCAAACAAATAAAAGCAGCAGGTGCATCTTTACCTGACTCCAGCATCACCGACAATGCCAATGGCCATGCCGGCGGCGAGCCCCGCGAGGCCACAGGCGAGCCCGGAGGAGAGGTGAGCGTAGCCGTCGAAGAGGAAGTAGGGCTTGGCCTTGGGGTTGATCCCGGTGCTGATGATGACGGCGATGATGAGGCCGTAGATTCCGAGCACACCCGCCATGACGACGGGCACGATGGACTTCATGACGAGCTCTGGCCGCATGACCCCCATGGACGCCACCCCGACCCCGCTCTTGGCCGTCCCGTAGGCCGCCCCCATGCCTGCAAACGAAACCGGTCAAATCTCCCTCTAGCCGGATCCAGCGTGGAGGGATCCCAAATCGAGCGAATCGGGGCACGGAACTCGCAGCGCGGCCGCGGGGACCGGCAGATCGAGCGAAGGCGCGACCGCGAGCCCGACCGGAGAGGGGAGAGGAACCCTCTGACATCTAACTAGTTTTCTTCCTAGCGTGTCGCTCGATCAAGGAGGAGGGAGGGAGGAGAGGCGATCGTACATGAGAAGACGAGCGCGGCGGCGGCGCCGAGGAAGCCGAAGAAGGGCGCCGTCTCATCGCCGCTGAACACCGACGACATCTTGCTCCTCTTCTTCCTCCTCCGGTCGCGCTTCTTTCCTGTGGAACTCGGGGTGGCCTCGTCGCTAAGGAAGATGGTTGGTAGGGAGAGGAACAGAGGGCCTCTCCAGTTTGCTTTTATTTTCTCCTCTCCTCTCCTCGCCCCGACCCGATCTGATCTATAGAAAAATAAAAACTCTGGAAGTATACAGGTGTGACGATGCTGGACTCCTTGGTTTTGCACCCTGGCCCCTGGGTTCCTGCTTATTTTATCGATCTCGCCGTTCATTTTGTCTCCATCGGATCAGATCTCACGACGATTTAATAAATGAAAAAAGATCTCCGGGCGACTTAATACTTTGGATTTATGATTTTTATAAAAATAAAATTAACAGAGTACATCACCGAAAACGTCTCCTCCCACTGAAAGTACATCACCGAAAATCCTGAAATAAATACATGAATAATGCGAGTATCAGGACTTGACCCCTGATGGGCTCTAACCATCCAACCACAGGTTGGTTCACATAGATATTCTTATTAGTGTAACAAGTGTGCTTGCTAATTCTATGTGAAACGGGATGACAGTGCTTCGTCGATAAAAAAATAAAAAAATGTAACATTTAAAGGTAATATTTCCCGTTCGACTTGTTTCTTTTTGCACAGATTACAGTACTTAAGCTTTCCTCCTAAAAGTTTACAGGTGGCGTTTTGGTGTGACAATGATCATATTTATTTATTTTTTAAAAAAATAACATTTTTGATGGGCAGGAGCATATGCTCCCAATAGCCGAATTTGATTTTCGCATACACTCGTCCCAGGGAACACACGCACACACGCCCTACCTCATATGAGCATCGCCGAGAGACTGAGCCCTCCCATCATCTTGAGAAAGAGGTCCCCGTCCGGAAAGGCTTTGACCCCCAATGGATTGCGAGGGTTATGCATCTAGTTTCTAGTGGTAGAACTGCAGCCAACATTAATGGTGAAGCCAGGCCCTATTTCGCCACCTCCCGTGGGGTTCGTCAGGGTGATCCCCTACTACCACTATTAGAATGCTCGTGCGTTGCTAGGGGCTTTTGAAATATTTTCCTTGAGTTATATGAACATCATTGAACTTACTCATCGGAATACCAGTTGGAAATAAATGTTGCCATAAACATTTATCGTAATTCCAGCTGGTATGCTTTATTGTGAGTGCATCGTTGTTGTGGGATATCATCACTTGCACATCTTTTTGTTGTATAAAACATGGTGAATTTTTGTCCTCTTCCAATAACGTCGCCCCAAAAACTCTCTGAATGGGTTTCTTTTTGAACCCCGACATAATCCATCTCCATCTCTCTCATATTCTACAAAATTAAATATATATAGAAATATACATTTTGAGTATTATATCATGTGCAACATACATACAAAGAAGAACAATTATTTGCATGCACCTCTTTTGGTTACGTAAAACTCGTTGAATTCTTAGCCCCCTCCATCATCGTTACATCAGGGTCTTTGTCAATCGACATCTTCGAAGCACAATCAAATCCATTAGTTTTTATGACCTACAAAGGTATTCTAATATAAACAAATCCAAGAAATGAGCGGTTTCTAGTAGATTGAGTGACATCCCAATTTTAATAATTTTAGGCTCACCTCTAAATCACATGTTGATGGTTATTCTCACGAATATCTACTATTTAGGATATGTGGTATATTGCCCATAAAAAACTATGTTACATTTCTCCACGAGCAAAGAACGGATTCCCCCTTTATATAATGATAGTCAGCCATCCATAATTTCTTGGATATTTTTAAGTAATTTATTGAGAAAATATTTTATGTTATTCTAAATATATATAGTGTACATGTATAAATAAAGCTTTATTTTTATGATATTCCCATTATACCCCTTCTATACGACTTGTTGTCCTCTCCCGAACGACTGCACTCTATCCACTCCCTCTCAGCACCACTCACTCTCTTGTTCCCCTCCCTCTCTAGATCCATAGACTTCACCGGCGTCGCTCACTCCCCTCTCTCCGCCCTCGCCCCCACAACCAACAGAAATCGGCGACCTCATCTCCCACCCCTCCACCCTTTCATCCCTCCCCTCTTCTCACCAAAATTAGTGAAGGGGGGATCGAGAGACCAGACGGTTGCTTGATCCGCCCATAAACCGGCGAACGACATCACGCCAAGGTCACCAACGCCGTCACGAAATGACAGGCTTCTTCCACCTCGACAGACTTGCTCGCGCACCAAGATATGAGAGGGGGCCTTCTACTTCTTCCTCGCTCATCACCCCTTTGGCCAAACCATGGATCAACCTTCCTCTACTCTGACCCATGCCATGGACCGAGTGATGTAGGTATGTACCCAGGGTAGGGTCATAGGCCTGACCTAAACACCCCCCCCCCCTAGGACATCACCCTAAAACCAGAAGCATTCAAGAGATAGTATCATCCACACGACCAAACGCATTCCACTTGGAAGACCCGAAGACACTCGACCGAAAGAATTATCACTCGACAGATAGAAGATCTAAAGTCACTCTACACAGCAACGGTCGGGCGTTTACCCCATAGACTAAATAATCATTTATGTCACTTTATTACTGGCGTTACCTGTAACGCCATCTCTTTATGTACCTTAAACCCCTTGTAACATGGGCTGGCTGGGGTCTGGGCGCACTCTATATAAGCCACCCCCTCCACTGGCACAAGGGTTTGCACCCCCTGTAACACACACACACACACACATAATTCAGTCGAGCACCTCCGGGCACCGAGACGTAGGGCTATTACTTCCTCCGCGAAGGGCCTGAACTCGTAAAACTCGTGTGTACAACTTAGCCATAGCTAGGATCTTGCCTCCTCATACCTATCCCCATTCTACTGTCAGTCTTAGATCCACGACAGTTGGCGCCCACCGTGGGGCCGGTGTCTTAGCGACTTTTTGGTGGAGTTGCGATTTTTTCCGATTCTCATCATCATGGTTTCCGCCTGCGGACTGGCTGAGGACCGCGAGATCCGTCTCGGCGCGCTTGTTTTCATGGCCGACGACTCCGCTTGGCTTCAGGAAGCTCCACTCGACGTCGAGGCGCTCCTCGTCCGCGGGGCGACGCACTTCCGCGCGTGCATCCTTCTCTGGCAGCCGTCAACCTAGTATCGGTCGGCTCCTATGGTGTCCTCGCCCCCCCGCCGTTCGCCGCCGCAAGTGTTCCGCTCGGTCGTGGCTCCAGCGGTGGGTGAGACACACGGTGGCCCGTCAGTCGGCCACCCCACAAGTCGCGGCAATCGAGCCCGACGAAACTCTCTATGGCCTGTTCGACCTGTCGACTAGCTCCGTCGAGACCGCATCCGAGTGCGACAGCAGCGATCCCGCGGCAGAAGTCTTGATGGTCAACGGACCACGCAGTCCTCCTGGCTTCCCCCGTGACGATGGTGGTGATGGCGGCGGCGATCCGTCGCGCGTTCACGAGGAGTACCGCCAGGAGCCCCTTTCTTCGCAGCGGAGGGAAGAGGTTCGCCGCCGCAATATGGATGCGCTTCACACTCATCGTTAGGGAAACCCCCGAAGCCCGGGCCTTGGAGGAAGCGCGCCTGGCCAACTTGGCTGAGCGCACTCGACGAGCGTGCTCGACAGTGGATCCCTGAGTCCAGTCGACGACAACTTTTTCTGCCTCAACCTCATGTATATCGCACTCCGATTCAAAATCTCACGGCAGTGGCCCGCATAGCAGAGTCAATTCAGCCTTCCTAGTCGGAGGCTCGCAAAGGTTTGATGCAAATCCGGGCCTTACTCCAGGCAGCCGGAGAGCAAAACACAGCAGTATCTCAGTCGTGGAATAGGATTCATAGCAGATCTATGATGGCAGATACGGTTCAGTCGGCTCACAGCCCAAGATCGCCCCCGCGGCGTGAAGGACGTGGGCACAGGCAAGATCAGTACAGAAACCACGAGCAATATGATCACCGACTCGGCCACGATGACCGTCGTCGAGTGCCCACGCCTCCTCCGAGGAGTGGGTCGTATGTGCATCGGCAGCATGATGATAGACGCCCCCACAACGGCGGCGAAGAGTACCAGTCGACCCAAGGGAGCCTGGCTTTGATGCGAGATCTATTCTCGTTCAAGGTCTGGTTGACAGGAACAGAGCACACAGAGAAGGCCATGACAGAGATTACCCGATTGGTAGCAGAGTGCACGTTTCAGATCCCGAGTGTTTCAGCAGAGGCATCAGGGCTACAGTGATTCCTCCCAACTTCAGGTTGGCGACTGGAGTCAGCAAGTTTACTGGTGAGTCTAAGCCTGACACTTGGATTGAAGACAACCGAGTGGCTGTACAAATTGGTGGCGGCAATGATGAAGTGGCCATGAAGCACCTTCCTCTGATGTTGGAAGGCTCGGCCAGAGCATGGTTGACTCAGTTAGCACCCGGCAGTATATTCAGTTGAGAAGAACTTGCCCGAGTGTTTGTTAGAACTTTTGAAGGTACTTGCAAACGGCCAGTAGGGTTAATAGAATTGGAGCACTGCGTGCAAAACCGAATGAAACCTTGAGAGATTATATCTAGAGATGGATCACGTTACACCATACAGTGGAGAATGTGTCAGATCACCAAGCAGTTTGTGCCTTCAAAGAAGGCGTTAAGTATCGAGAGTTGAATCTGAAATTCGGTCGGACAGGGGATATGTCCCTGACTCGGATGATGGAGATTGCCACCAAATACGCTAACGGCAAAGAGGAAGACCGACTCCGGAGTGGCAAGCACAAAACAGTCGCCCAGGAAACCGGAGGAGGGAATTCCAGTCGGAAACAGAAGCGCAAGGCCGAGCCAGCCGCTCCTGGTGAAGCCTTAGTCGTGGCTCAAGGAAAGTTCAAGGGGAAGCCCAAAGGGCCCTGGACCCCCAAGAAAGTGAAAGATCAAGCCGGAAATGATGTGTTAGTTTTGCCATGTCACATGCACATCAAGAAGGATGAAGAGGGCAATATGAATTATCCTAAACATACCACTCGACATTGTC